GCCGAGCCTCTCTCCGCCACGGCCCGCGGCGCTCGCTGCATGCGCCGCTCGCGCGGGCCGCGGGAGCGGCTCCTCCGCGCGCCTGCGGCGAAGGCGAGGGTCGAAGGCTGTGCGCCTCCGAGGGTTTTCGCGCCCACCAGTCGGAAAAGGTGGGCAGGAGAAGGAAGCGGGAAGGCACGGAAGGTCTACGGGGCTTCGCCCCCTCAGGAGTAGGAGAGGGAAAAGCGTTCGGCTCTCTTGACAGTGAGGCGCACAAAGTACCCCTCCCAGGAGAGGGGAGGTCGGCCCCACCACCACCAGCGCGAGGCGCCAGGGAGAGCCCGTCTGGTGGCGTGGACCCCCACCTTCTCGCTCGAGACGTTCCTTCTCACCCAGCTCGGGGAGGCGTACAGTAGGGGCCCGACCACGAGAAACCTCCCACAAGAAATCCAACCCTGAGACGCCAGGACGTCCATTAGTTTTTGGCGTGGAGACGCCACGCTCTCCACAGCAAAACCATCGAAACCCAAGAAATCCAGGGCACCCTGGAGGCAAGCAGGGTGCTTCTTGGCATGGGCCTCCACAATAGCGGACTCCACCGCTGGACGTTGCCTGGTCTGGCGGTGGTGGTGTCGCCTCTACTTCTTCTGGCCATCGCTCGGACGTCCATTCCCTGTTTTTTTTAGGTTCCGTGCGTGGTTCTTTCGCCAAATGATCAAGGATGCTCCTCGATGGCCCTCGCCGAAAAAAATATAGCCGGAATGCAGTATCCCCAAAGGGGGTTTTCAGACCCACTGCGGTTTCCAAGGTCGATTGCGTGCCCGTCCAGTGCGGGCTGGCATGGCATGTTAAAACATGCCTCCTCCTCCTTCTCCTCCTCCTCCTCCTCCTCCTCCACCTTCTCTTCATCCCGAACGGCATCTCGGAGCCCAGAGTTGCGAGGATGTCTCCAGCGTAACGGGCTGGACCACCTCGCGCGCGGCATTTCGGACCCCAGAGTTGCGACGATGTCTCGGGCGAAACGTGCTGCGAGGAAGTCTCAGGCGAAACGGGCCGGACCACCTCGAGCGCGGCGTCTCAGAGCTCCGAGTTGCGGGGGCCTCATGGGGCCTCCTGGGACCTCCTGGTGACCTCCTGGGGCTTCCTCCTGGGCCTCCTGTGGCCTCCTGGACCCCACCTGGGGCTTCCCGAAGCGGGCTCCCAGGGGGGATATCTAACATGTGGCCATCGGCCTCCAAAATGGGGGGGGGGGCACAAGAGCAGGAAAAATCAACGAATCGGCACCAGATGTGTATTAACTGGACACGTTCTGATAGGGGGCCTCCTGGGGCCTCCTGGGAGCCTCCTGGGAATCTCCTGCGGACCCCTGGGGCCTGTCCTGGGCGTCCTGCGGCCTCCTGAAGCTCTCTGGGGCCTCCTGGGGCTCGCAGGGTCCCAGGGGGATATGTACCATGTGGTCTCTGGTCCCCCTGGGCCCTCCATGCTGGACTCCTCGCCCTCGCAGCATCTGGAGCTCAGAGTTGCGAGAATGTCTTGTGCGAAGCGGGCCGGACCACCTTGCGCACGGCATCTCAGAGCTCAGAGTTGCGAGGATGTCTCAGGCGAGATGGGCCGGATTACTTCGCGCAGGGCATCTCGGAGCCCAGAGTTGCGAGGATGTCTCCAGCGTAACGGGCTGGACCACCTCTTGAGCGGCATCTGGGAGCTCAGAGTTGAGACGATGTCTCGGGCGAACCGGCTTTCGAGAATCTCGTCGAAACGGGCCGAACCACTTCGAGCGCGGCGTCCCCAGAGCTCCGAGTTGCTGGGGCCTCCTGGGGCCCTCCTGGGACCATCCTGTGGACCTCCTGGGCGCCCTCCTGGACTCCTGTGGGCCTCCTTGACCCAACCTTGGGCTTCCTGAAAGCCTCGGGTTGTGCAAGGGGGGGAGTCTACATGTGTATTCCAGGGCGCCCCAACATGAGAGGGGGGGCCACAAAGCAATAAAAATCAACTAATCGGCACCCCCTCCTGCTGTTGAACCGTCTATATGGGGCCTCCTGGGACCCTGGGAGCCTCCTGGGAATCTCCTGCGGACCCCTGGGGCCTGTCCTGTGCGTCCTGCGGCCTCCTGAAGCTCTCTGGGGCCTCCTGGGGCTCCCAGGGTCCCATGGGAGGATATGTAACATGTGGTCTTCTCGGCCCCCAGGCTGGACCACCTCTTGCGCAGCATCTGAGAGCTCAGAGTTGCGAGAATGTCTTGTGCGAACCGGGCCGGACCACCTTGCGCACGGCATCTCAGAGCTCAGAGTTGCGAGGATGTCTCAGGCGAGATGGGCCGGACCACCTCGCGCAGGGCATCTCGGAGCCCAGAGTTGCGAGGATGTCTAGGCTAAAGTTCGGCTAGGATGTCTCAGGCGAATACGGGCCGGACCACCTCGAGCGCGGCGTCTCAGAGGCTCCGAGTTGAGGGGGCACTCCTGGGGCCTTCCTGTCTCCTGGTGACCCTCTGGGGGCTTCCTGCCTGGGCCTCTGGGGCCTCCTGAACCCCCCTGGGCTTTCTGAAGCCTATTGGGGCTCCCAGTGGGGGATATTTAACATGTGGCCGTCGGGCCCCCCCCAAAATGAGGGGGGGGGCAGAAGAGCAGGAAAAATCAACGAATCGACACCAGATTTGTATTAACTGACACGTTCTGATAGGGGGCCTCCTGGGGCCTCCTGGGAGCCTCCTGGGAATCTCCTGCGGACCCCTGGGGCCTGTCCTGGGCGTCCTGCGGCCTCCTGGAGCTCTCTGGGGCCTCCTGGGGCTCCCAGGGTCCCAAGGAGGATATGTAACATGTGGTCGTCTGGGCCCCCAGGCTGGACCACCTCTTGCGCGGCATCTGGGAGATCAGAGTTGCGAGAATGTCTTGTGCGAAACAGGCCGGACCACCTGGCGCACGGCATCTCAGAGCTCAGAGTTGCGAGGATGTCTCAGGCGAGACGGGCTGGACCACCTCGCGCAGGGCATCTCAGAGCTCAGAAGTTCGAGGATGTCTCAGGCGGGCTCCCAGGGTTCCAGGGAGCATATGTAACATGTGGTCTTCTGGGCCCCCAGGCTGGACCACCTCTTGCGCGGCATCTGGAAGCTCAGAATTGCGAGAATGTCTTGTGCGAAACAGGCCGGACCACCTTGCGCACGGCATCTGAGGGCTCAGAGATGCGAGCATGTCTCAGGCGAGATGGGCTGGACCACCTCGCGCAGGGCATCTCGGAGCTCAGAAATTCGAGAATGTCTCAGGCGAAACGGGCCGGACCACCTCTCGCGCGGCATCTCCGAGGTCAGAGTTACAAAGATGTCTCAGGCGAAACGGGCCGGACCACCTCGCGCAAGGCATCTCAGAGCTCAGAGTTTCGAGGATGTCTCAGGCGAAACGGCCCGGACCACCTCTCGCACGGCACCTCGGGGCTCAGAGCTTCGAGGATGTCTCAAGCGAAACGGCCCGGACCACCTCTCGCGCGGCGTCCCGGAGCGCAACTTTTCGAGGATGTCTCAGGCGAAACGGCCAATCCCGGCCAACTCAGAAACGAGGGTTATGAGGATGTCTCAAGCGAAACGGCCCGGACCATCAAATTTTTGTGAGGATGTCTCTGCTCCGACTTCCCTCGGCCGGAGTTAGCTTCTATCACAACAGCACCCCGTTCAGCAAGCTGTTTGGGGAAAAATCATGTTCTCGAAACTTAGCCATTCCTTAGAATTCTAATATGTTTCCCCCCATCTTTAATTTTATTCCCGCTCGCCATCTTGATATCAGGTCGATCGGGTGGATATTACTATCAAAAAGCATCGGGGCGGGATCGGGTGTTGAGTGTCATCTTGGCAGGTGCTGTCGGTTTCCTTAACTTAACTCGAGCTGTCGAAGAGCTACAGAGCTCTTCGGCGCAGCAATCGAAAGATAATCATCAGGAGCGCTACTCTGAAGTATCTAGATGCCTGAGGTCGGTCTGCTACAAGAGCTCGACCGCAAAGAAAATTTGTACTCTGCAGATGTTTGAAGAGACGGTACTGGCTTTCTCTACTTACTTCGAGCTGTAGGCAAGCTACGGAGCTAGAACGCACACAATTTAACAGTGAATCATCAGGGACATCCGCCTACGGTATCGAGACCTCTGATATTTGTCTGCTACTAGAGCTGCGACTGCAAAACTATTCGTGCTATAATGTTTTCGAAAGGTAATGATTGTTTTCTCTACTTTATTCGAGCTGTAAGCTAGCTACGGAGCTGAGATGCACACGAAGCGACAGGAAATGCTGAGGAGCGCCTCTCTAGGTCTGCTGCCAGAGCTGTGACTAAAACGCGCGTCAAACTCTGCAACTTTTTGGGGAGAGATGATGTTTGGTTTCTCTACTTAATTCGAGCTGTAGGCTAGCTACGCAGCTGAGATATCGTCCAACAGATGAGCCCTAGTCTATAGAGCATCTAGACGCCTCATATCGGTCTGCTACCAGAGCTGCGACCGAAAAATTATGGTGCACTCTTCAAATTTTGATGAGGCGGTGTTGGTTGTATCAACTTAATTGAGCTGTAGGCAAGCTGCGGAGTTGGGAAGCACCGCTCTAACACAAAAGATCACGAGCGCCAGTCGTTGTGACTGCAGCCGCGGCCGCGGCTGGGAGGGAGAAACTATTGCGAATTTGTCGAAGTGTTTTTTTCTCTCCCAACCGCGGCCGCGGCTGCGGCCGTGGCTGCGGCCGCGGCTGGAAGGGGGGAACTATCGTGAATTGTTCGGGATGGTGTGTGTCTGTCTGAACTGAATTCGAGCCGTGGGCAAGCCAAGGAGCTGTCAAGCACATGTCTATGAAACCGCACACCCTCGCGCGCGCTGAATGCGAGGTTGCCGCGCTCGCATGCTAAGTAAGCTCTACGAGTCCCCGGCGGTAACCAAGGTTGACGGTTTACCGCCGGCTTCCAGCAATTCCATGGCTGACGCAGGTGTCGAGGTTAGCATTGTGAACTTGCGCAGTTTCGGGGCGGCAAATACATAAGAATAAAATTAAGTATGTGGGGTTCCTCGGTAGCGTAATCCTTGGTTGTCCCGTCCCTCTCCGCTCCCTGGGGCGCTTGCTCCCCGTCCAAGTCGACTCCCTGATGCGGCGCCGCGGAACTGTGACTCCATTTCTCTGCTTCGCGGGTGGCTGCCAGTCGTCAAAACCGTCCACTGGGTTGCGGGCGTCACTCGCTCGATGCGGTCAACAACGCCCAAAGCCATTTTCTTGATCCTCGACGAAGTTGCGCACATGGCTTTGCAACGGCAGGGCGCTACGTCACAGAAGACCTCTTGGAGGCAGTGTACATACCAAGCGCCAGCGGCAACGGTGCAGTAACACAACAGCCAAAAAACACCTATGTTTGCGAAAGCAGCGTGATAGTTAATGGTCAGGGCCATTGCGCATAGGAAGCGGCACAAAAGCTGCTGCAGCCAGCAGCAACAACAGCAGGCGGCAAAGCGCCTCTGCGAGGACACGGGAACAGGCTGTGGGCACTCGCCCTGTCCTGCCTGACGACGAGGGGGCGAGCGGGATGAATGCAGCGGGTGATCCTCAAGACGAGACCAGTGCAGAGACAGAAGCGGATCAGAGAATGGATGGATTCGGTTTGTGTTCGGGATTCGGTTTTCTGCTATGTATGGGGCCAGAGGGGCCAGGCGGACAGCGACGACGACGACGACGAGGGCGACGAGGACGAGGGGGAGGAGGAAGAAGTCGACGACGAGAGGGTGGAGGGCCAGCACCCCCATTCGTCCTATCGGCCCAATCCAAGAGCAAGGGGAGAAGGAAGAAACGCGTCGGAGTCTCATTGGAGCCATATTGACACAATCTTGGGGTCAACTAGGGTTCAAAAGGGTCATCTTGGGGCAATCTCGAAGTCGTCTGGGACTCGTGGGGTCGTCCCAGGGCCACCTAGGAATAAAATCGGGATCGCGCGGTAGCCTTAGTTCAGTCGGAACACAGTGGGTTCGTCTCGGTGTTCCTTTGGGGCCGCAGGGCTGGTCTTGGGTCACATTGGGGCCATTGCTTAGCAGGGGTGGGCATCTTGGGGCGACAGGGGTAATCTCGTGATCCTTTCCAAAACCCCTGTTGGGTCCATCTTGGAATCATCTTTCCGTTGCTGCCTCTCTCGTTGTTGTTGCTACAGATGTTGCTGCTACTGCTGGCTTTGATGCTGCTGGCGCTGCCTGGGCTGCCCGTGGTGCTGGTGCTGGTGCTGGTGCTGTGCTGAATTTCGGGCCCTCTTGGAGCCTTCTTGGGGCCCTCTTGTGGCCCTCGTGGGCCTCTTGGGTCCCGGCGGGGGCCTTCTGAGGGCCCTTACGACGCTACCGAGAGGGCCAAGAATTCAACGCACACTTAAGACAAACCGCCTCCTTATTGGAGAGCGTCTTGGGTTAAGTTGGTGTTACAAATTTTGGTCCTCTTGGATAATCATCTTGGGGCCCTCTTGGGGCCCTCCTGGGCCCTCTTGGGCCCCTGGGAGCCCTCTGAAGGTCTCAAGAGGCGTCCAGGAGGGCCAAGAATTCAACACACATTCAAAACAAACCGCCTCCTTATTAGAGAGCGTCTTGTGTCAAATGTATGTTCAATTTCGTGCCCTCCCAAAACAAACAAGAAGGCCCGAGAGAGACCCAAAAAGGGCCCAAAAGAGATGGTTGTTGAGCTTCCACGCGGGGGGGTCACCATGTATCCGCTGTTTGTACAAATGCTTCCTCGTGCAGGGCTCGGCTTGAAGCTCGGAGGGCCTTTAGGAGGGTCCCAATCTGAGGTATTCAAAGACTTCGCGTAAGCTTCGAGTGCGATTGCGCTGCTCCAAGACGGCTCCGAGACGGCCCCAGAGCGCTCCACGACGCTCACAATGGCTTCAAGACAGCCAGAAAGTCTGAAATGACTCTGGCAGGCCATATGGCATCCAATTCCACGTCGAATGAATACGATATGGAGAGTGGGTGGATAGGATGGGATAAGATCGATGTAGTGATCTTTCCAGCACATAGCGAACACTAAGGTAAGTGTCCGGGCAAATAGGGCGCGCGTGCCTTGAGCCAAAGGCAGCGGCGCGCAGGCTATACTCCCGATCCTCTATAACATCTCCCAAAGAGCTACCCTTAAAGTCGGGAGGGGAGGAGACGGAGAATAAAGCCGCGCAACCGCCAGGCTCTAGAAAGGCCGCGCGCACGACCGATTGCAAGAATTAGCCTGGCGAAGGACCCAACCATATGCAGTTGTGAATGCCGCAATTGTGCTGGGTGGTGGCGGACGCATGCGGGCGGTGCCACTGGGACCTTCGGTGGAGCTCCCTATGGGGCCACGAAACGCTGTACTGGGTGGGTGAGACGCGGTCAGCAAGGGCTGTGCTGCGTGGTGGCGGACGCATGCGAGCGGTGCCACTGGGACCTTCGGTGGAGCTCCCTATGGGGCCACGAAACGCTGTACTGGGTGGGTGAAACGCAGGCAGGGAGCAAGGGCTGCGCAGGGTGGTGGCGGACGCATGCGGGCGGTGCCGCTGGGACCTTTGGTGGAGCTCCCTATAGGGCTACGAAGCGCTGTTCTGGGTGGGTGAAGCGCAGGGAACAAGGGCTGTGCTGGGTGGTGGCGGACGCAAGCGGGCAGTGCCACTGGGACCTTTGGTGGAGCCCCCTATGGGGCCACGAAACGTGCGAGGGGAGTGCCAGAATGGGGTGTGGAACCGCATGCCAGCGCAGCCACTGGGGCCTTCGGTGGAGCTCCCTATGGAGCCACGAAGCGTGTGAGGGGTGTGCCGAAATGGGGGGTGGAACCGCATGCGAGCGCAGCCACTGCGGCGTTCGGTGGAGCTCCCTATGGGGCCACGAGACGTGTGAAGGGCGTGCCGAAAAAGGGGGTGGAACCGCATGCGAGCGCAGCCACTGGGGCCTTCGGTGGAGCTCTCTATGGGGCCACGAACCGTGTGAGGGGTGTGCCGAAATGGGGGGGGAACCACATGCGAGCGCAGCCACTGGGGCGTTCGGTGGAGCTCCCCCTGGAGCCACCCACGAAGCGTGTGAGGGGTGTGCCGAAATGGGGGTGGAACCGCATGCGAGCGCAGCCACTGGAGCGTTCGGTGGAGCTCCCTATGGGGCCACGAAGCGTGTGAGGGGTGTGCTAGAATGGGGGGGTGGAACCGCATGCGGGCGCAGCCACTGGGGCCTTCGGTGGAGCTCCCTATGGGGCCACGAAACGTGTGAGGGGTGTACCAGAATGGGGGGTGGAACCGCATGCGGGCGCAGCCACTGGGGCCTTCGGTGGAGCTCCCTATGGGGCCACGGAACGTGTGAGGGGTGTGCCAGAATGGGGGGTGGAACCGCATGCGGGCGCAGCCACTGGGGCCTTCGGTGGAGCTCCCTATGGGGCCACGAAACGTGTGAGGGGTGTGCCAGAATGGGGGGTGGAACCGCATGCGGGCGCAGCCACTGGGGCCTTCGGTGGAGCTCCCTATGGGGCCACGAAACGTGTGAGGGGTGTGCCAGAATGGGGGGTGGAACCGCATGCGGGCGCAGCCACTGGGGCCTTCGGTGGAGCTCCCTATGGGGCCACGAAACGTGTGAGGGGTGTGCCAGAATGGGGGTGGAACCGCATGCGGGCGCAGCCACTGGGGCCTTCGGTGGAGCTCCCTGTGGGGCCACGAAAACGTGTGAGAATGGCCAGCCGAAGCGGGGCCACGGTGTGCCAGAATGGGGGTGTGCATGGGGCGTGGAACTCCTACGGGGCCACGAAACCAGCCGCATGCGGGCGCAGCCACTGGGGCCTTCGGTGGAGCTCCCTATGGGGCCACGAAACGTGTGAGGGGTGTGCCAGAATGGGGGGTGGAACCGCATGCGGGCGCAGCCACTGGGGCCTTCGGTGGAGCTCCCTATGGGGCCACGAAACGTGTGAGGGGTGTGCCAGAATGGGGGGTGGAACCGCATGCGGGCGCAGCCACTGGGGCCTTCGGTGGAGCTCCCTATGGGGCCACGAAACGTGTGAGGGGTGTGCCAGAATGGGGGGTGGAACCGCATGCGGGCGCAGCCACTGGGGCCTTCGGTGGAGCTCCCTATGGGGCCACGAAACGTGTGAGGGGTGTGCCAGAATGGGTGTGGGAGGGGGAGGAGGGGGGAGGAAGGGGGGAGGAGGAAGGAGGAGGAGGAAGGAACGCGGGGCGACGTCTCTTCAAAACGAGGACCCAACACCACAGGATGGTTGGGAAAAAACAGCGCGCACAGTCTGGCCTACCACCAGACTGAAGGGCGAGATTATTCGCCGGCGAGTTTCCTCGCAAAACTTTTCCACGCACACGCAGGATAGCCCCTTGGATATACAAGGGCTATCGGCCCGACTAGAGGTAAGCCAAACAGGCTATTCCCCTCCAGGCAAAAGGGTATTAAAGCAAAGAGACTGAACCAATCTGAAAAGGCTCGTTGCCAAGCGTGAAAAGTATGGCTCGTTTCCGCGCAGCTAGGAGGGCGCCTCTGCAGTAGGCGCCCGTGCTGGCAAACTGGACCGCGGGGGCAACAAGGACAGACTAAAACTGATTCGACTTAGGCTTGTTTCTGTCCGCGGGGCCGCGAAAGGGAGCAAACTGCTTCACGGCATACTTAAATGACTGAGTGCCTGACATTACTTCCAGAAGCAGCTCCCGATCGATACTCCCCTTTGTATGCCCATCTGCGGTCATGTCTCTAGTGTCACACCACTGTACGTTATGCACTATACCTATATCCATGAGCTCACGTATCCAAGTGATATGTCCCAGCAAATTCCGTTCCGCCGGTATCTTAAGATCTTTGCTGGATAGCGATTTGCATACATACTCAGCGTCTATAGTAAGGGATACTTTGATAGCTAGGCCTCCAACTTCACGCATGTCTCGTAGTTGTCGTGGAGTAAGTGCTCCTGCCTTCAGCTCGTGGAGAGTGATGAGCGTGGGATAGCACTCATCAAAATTGTGTGCAGCTGCAAGTGCCTCAGCGGCATAGCTGGACCTCACCTGCAGTCGGTGTGATTTGTATAGTCCGTCGCAAAGGTGAATGACGGATTTGCCTTGAGGCGAGTTTCCTCGCCGTAATACGTTAGCCCCACGAATGCCGTAGCCCTTGGTTTCATCGTCCTCCTCCCCGGTGAGCTTCCGATACCCCGAATCACTGTGTATGTCTACTTCATTCGTCGGTTTCATCCGAGGGAAGGTGATGCGTTTCGGGCTGCTGATCAGCTTTCGCGTCACAGCATTCAGTCGTCTGACCTTTAAGTAGTGGGCTCTTGGATCTTCTGGAGAGAGACCACATACACCATAAGCCAGACTTGAGTAAGAAGGGCATAAGCGAGAGCTCCTCGCAGGCTAACGAACATGTCGGTGATGAGTTTGGTAGCTTTGGCGTCTGCCGCCGCTCCCGTAAGTTCAGGGTGTGTGATAGGACGTAGTTGTTTGATGTGCTCGTCCTGGTCCATGATCACATCCCTTTGTTCATTCTTCGTGTAGCGAACGGCGCAG